GCTCCTGCTGCGGCTCTCGTCTCCGATATGCTGTTCTCAGGAGGGAGGCAGGGGCTCCTCACCTGTGGCCACATCAGTGCCCCCTCCCACCTACCATCCGGGCCACCCCAGGAGCCTCCCAGAGGCCAGGGCGGCAGCAGAGGGTACACAGCTCAGGTGCCAGTCGGCCGGAATCAGGGCTGGTCCACAGAACCTCCTAAGAGGCCTTGGCCTACTTCCCTTTTCTGCCATTCCTCTGGTCTGGAATTTTCAAGGTGGCCTCAGGCCACTTTGCTTTTTTGTTCCAGGCTTGTGGGGAAGAGGGCAGGGTATGAAGACTTGTAAACATCAGGGGTCAGGTGGAGGGAGTGTTGTTCAGCCCGAGACGGCTAGAGACAGGTTTCCATAGGATTCCATGCTTCAGGAAATAGGGAAGCAAGGAGTGGGTTCTGCAAAGAGCCAGAAATATCCAGGCACAGAGGCAGCATGTGCATCTGAGGCATTGTGAGGATGGGGTTTGCAAACCACAGCTAAGAGAGGGGCGCTAATCCCTCCTCCGGGTCAGCAGCTGATCCGCATCAGGGCTCTAAACAGATGCGTGCCCCTCTCACACAGACACACGTGCACACACATGCCACGCAGCCGCGGGCCCTGACCTTCACCCAGCGGCACTGGCCTCTGCAGGGGAGGGAGCAGATGGAGCGGCGGCGCCTGGCACAGGACCCACGCCCAGGGGAACCAGCTTTGCCCCTTTGATGATGAGAAACCAAAGCAGAGTGAACTATCACAAGGACAACTCCTAGAGAAGAGGAGGCAGGAACAGAGGATGGAGGAGGAGGCGGGGTGGAGAAGATGCAGGGAATGACCTGGACCCAATGGGATGCCGAGGTCAGAGGCTGAATCCTGGGTACGGTGGAGCCTCCTGGGTAAGACTCTGGGACTCAAGGTGTCACCCTTTTCTACTTCTCCCATCCCCATATGACTTATCAAGGAACTCGAGCCATGGTGACCCTTAACACGGGGCACGGTGGCTCACTCCTATAATCCCAGCACTTTGGGAGGCGAGGAGGGTGGATCACCTGAGGTCAGGAGTTCAAGCCCAGCCTGGCCAGCGTGGTGGAACGCTGACTCTATTAAAAATACAAAAAATTAGCTGGGTATGGTGGCGCATGCCTGTAATCCCAGCTACTCAGGAGGGTGAGGCAGGAGAATCGCTTGAACCCGAGCGGGGGAGGTTGCAGCAGAGACTGAGCCGCTGTACTCCAGCCCGGGCAACAAGAGAGAAACTCCATCTCAAAAAATAAAAATAAAATAACGCTCTTGTTCCACGGCATCCAGCGCCTAGAACCAGGCTGAACCGGCTGGACCTGGCTCCACCTGCCTCCCCCAACTCCTGCCTGGGAGATGCCCAGAGAGACTGGGAGGGTCGCATTCGCGGGACCAGGAAGGGTGAAATCCACCGCGTTCCTCCAAGCCCAGGGGACCCTCTTCTAATCCCCGCTGCGGGGAAGGTGTGGGTGGGGAGGAGAAGGGGCGGTGCCGTTCCGGCCACTGGAGCAGCTGCAGTGGGGGACGAGGGTGGGCGGCTCTCGGTTGCCCCCGAACCCCGTTTACCAGTGATCAGCTACGCAACCCCCGGGGCCGCGCGAGACCGAGCGCGTGACCCAGGCAGATCTGGGCGCGAGGGGGTGGAGAGTCCGGGCAGGTCTGTTTCCTCCCGAGGGTGGCGGTGCTGGAGAGGGTGGGGGCGGCGCCGAGGCTGCGGGAAAGGCTGTGAGCCGCGATTCTCTGCTCCCGCATCCGCATCCGCGCTGCCCCCACGGGTCTCAGCGCCACCGTCTCCCTCCTGCCCCATCCGGATCCCGCCCCCGGCCCCGAACCCCGGCCCCGACCCACAAACGACTGCCCCGGAGCCCCCGGGTGGGAAGCTCGTGAGCCAAAGACTTTCCCAAAACGGCCTTTCAGCTTCAGCCTGGACAGAGAAGCCGGCAGCCGGGGCGGGGGCAGCGCCCGAGGGTCCCTCCCGCTCCGAGCCCGCGGCGGACTCACAACAGGTGGGAGGGGGCGGCGCGGCTCTCAGCGCGGTCCGCCCACGGTCCCCGCCCCCGGGCGCGGGATCCGCTCCGGGACGAGCCCCCCGGCCGAGCCGGCGGCGCCTGGACCCCGCCCCCGCCCCTGCCCCCGACCCCGCGGCACGTACTGCTGTAGAGGGTGTCGATCCAGGACAGGCGCGCGAGGCCCCGGTGGCTGAGCGGCTCCATCCCGCGGCGGCGGCGGCTGCTGCTGGTCGGTCAGAAGCGAAACCCGACCCTCATCGCACAACAAAGGAGGGAGGGAGGCTGGGGGCCCGAGGCCGAAGTTGAGGCGCGGCGGGACGTGGAGCGCGGGAACCGGGTCCCGGGAGGAGCGCGGGGCGGCCGGGAGGGGCGCAGGCGGGCGGGCGTGCGGGGCGGGGCGGGCGCCCCTCAACCCTCCCGGCCCCGCTGCGGATCCCAGAGCAGAGGAGCAACTTCCCGGGGCCGCGCGAGGGGGCGGGGCGGGGCGGGGCCCGGTGCTGAGGCTCCGCCCCCCGCGGAACTCCGCCCAACACACCCGGGCGGGCTCGGGGGGCAGCGGGGCGCGCGGGGTCTCCGCGCGGTGGCACAGACCCCGGCCCCCCTCGTGCGCCCCCGCGCAGGGCTCGGCAGGATCCCGGGGAGCCGCAGACCCTGTGCTGGGGCCCCCGCTCCCGCAGGGGTGACATCACCCGCCGATCTCCAAGCGCGGCTTCGGGGGCGGGAGCGGCAGCCGGGCCCCTCCCCAGCCAGGATCGCTGCGGCGCGAACCCGGAGAGCGTCCTGCGCGCTGCGGGGAGGCGCCTCTTTCCTCCCGAACCTTCCCCGCCGCGTCTCCCACGCCCGTGACCTCCAGAGCTGCAGTTCCCGCCACTCACTGGGGGCTGGAGACTGGAGACGCGGGAGGCCCGAGGTCCGCAGGAGCCGTGGGGACAGGACCGTCCCAATTGCGCCCCTCGTGGGTGGAGGACACACCGGAACCAGGAGAAGCCTCAGGGTCTCCACGGTCCCCTCCAGGACCCCTCCTGGGGACCCCCAGCCTCATGTTCCCCACCAGGACCCCTCCTGGGACCCCCAGCCACAACCAGGAAGCCCACCATGTCTGCATCATCACCTACGAGTTGCAAGAAGTCGGGCTAAGAGGCCTGAGAACAGGAGGTTGAGAGAGAGGGGGGTCTAACAAAGCCCCCTCGCCCAAGGGCAGTAAAGAGACTGGGGGGCCCCATGCCTGTCCCTGTGGGCTGGTTCCGTGGGAGCCGTGGTGGCTTTCCCATAGACCACCTTGGGCCAGGCAACCCTGGAGCAGGGAAGGGAGGAGAGTCAGGCCAGGGGGGTCCAGGGCAGTGGGGCTGAAGCCCCTTCCTGAACCCAGGGGAAGGGCAGCAATGGGACCCACCAGGGGACCCGGTACCCTAGAGAGTGACATTTCAGATATCAGAGCAGTCCCCACCCCACCCCATCCCCAGGCAGCTTAGGGGGAAAACCATCATGAAGCCCAGCCCTCCCGAGGCCCACCAGCAAGGTAAACTCAGCCTAGCCTTTTGGGGGGTGGGGCGGGGGGGCAGTGTGGTCAGCATCTACAGAACGTTTAGGGGTGTGGGTGCTGGTCCTCATCATTCCTAACAGACACACACACATCTCGTTCTTGAGGGGAGAAGCTGCTCTCCCGCAGGATGCTGAGAGGAAGCTGTAGGCAGCCCTCAAGCTGGTCGGGCGGAGGCCTCTGCAGCCGCCCCAGGGGAGATGGGGTGACCTACTCATCACAGGCTGGGGGCCCCTGGAGACTCAGGGCCAATGCTGTGGGTGGCGAAGCCTCTACAGGTGGCTGCAGAGCGGTTTTCAGTATGATTGCCCCTCCTGCGTCCACTGGGCTCCCCGCCCCAGTCCTCCTGGCTCGGGCACCAGCGCAGTCCCTTGCCACCACTCCCTGCTCCGCTGTCTCCCTCCCATCGTCCCTGACTGGCACACAGGACTGGGAGGGCCAGGCAGGCACCTGGAGCTTGGCAGGGAGGGGGGCGTGCATCTCCAATGAGGCGCTCCAGAAATAGAGCTCCAGCTTGGGAAGGGAACAAGCAGGCGCTCAGAGGGCGGGCGGCGGGGCCGGAGCAGCCAGGAGGGGCTGCGGCGTCTCTTCTTCCCACGTGGAACTCTCAGAAGACAAAGGGCCCTGGAGAAAGGTGGAAATGGAGGCCAGGAGGCAGCAGCACAATCCCCTCCTCAAAACAGCCACCAAGCAAGCCCAGGCCCTCTCCCCACACCGTGGGATTTTCCCGAAGGCCACATCCGGCGCGGACGCAGAGGAAGCCATGGATGTATTCTTCTGTGTGAGTCACATACATTTGCGTACATTTTACATTTTTATCTACAAAGGCCTGACAAGCTATTTTCAGCATCTCCCAAGCTACGATGTGCAGTTGCTTTCCGTGGTGCTTGTTCCTGTCTACGTTCTGTCCAGTCCTGCCGCTTCGGGCCTTCTGCTCCACCACCGTACAGGGTGGCGGGAGAGACAGACCCTGAGGGCTCTAAGGAGGAAAGCGTCTCCTAATGAGCACTGAGGGCCGACCATGCACCCAGCTTATCGCCTCGTTCACTGGTGTGATCTCAATGTGAAAGCCACTGTTCTGTTTTCTCTACTTTCCAGGTCAGAAAACTGAGGCACTAAGCAGCTGAGTGAGCCACCTGGAGAGTGAGTGAGGGCTGACACTTGAACCCTGGAAATCTGTTGATATGCTTTTTTTTTGAGACGGAGTTTTGCTCTTGTTGCCCAGGCTGGAGTGCAGTGGCACGATCTTGACTCACTGCAACCTTCTCCTTTTGGGTTCAAGCGATTCTCCTGCCTCAGCCTCCTGAGTAGCTGGGATTACAGGTGCGTCACCACCACGCCCAGCTAACTTTTTGTATTTTTAGTAGAGACGGGGTTTCTCCGTGTTGGTCAGGCTGGTCTTGAACTCCTGACGTCAGGTGATCTGCCCGCCTCAGCCTCCCAAAGTGCTGGGATTACAGGGGTGAGCCACCGCACCTGGCCTTGCTCATGCCCCTAATCACCACGCGTGCTGCCTCCACTGCCAGCTAACTGGTGGTCACAGCGTGTCGAAGGTCTCGAGAAATCTCTGCTGGTCCATGGGGATGGAGACCACCCTCCGGGAAGCCCCATCAACCCTCGTCTGTCTGCAGGCATCTGTCTGGCACACGCGGCTCGGGGAAGGACAGCTACTTCGAGATTCCCTTGGTACGTTTATTGGATGGCTTCCAGCAGATGTTAACACCACACGGCCAGATTCGAATCTTGGCCTTGGAGACAAATGTGTGGACTTTTGGGCACCACCGTGATTTGGATGGGAGCAGAAACCTCCATATCCCTGGCACGGAGGAGCTGGGGAGATTCAGCATCACGCCCCGGGAGGGAAGGAGTTAAAGAGTCACTCTTGTCTGCACTTTGCCAAAGGTGCTACTCTTAACACCAGACAGCAACCCCGATCTGTCAGAACAGCAGGGAGGTGTATAGACAGACCATCCTGATTCAGCTAAACAGGGACCGATGGGGACCAGCCAGTGCTCCCCAAGGCACTGAACCCACATCTGTCACTCTGCCTCCTCCAGGCCCCTTCTAACCATTACCCAGATCGTCTGTGGGGCCAGTGCTGTCCACCTTCTGCTGCCCTCCCTGCAGCCCAGGCACTCAGGCTGTCTGCAGCTCCCAGCCCCAGGTGACCCGCCTGCTGCTGCCTCATCACTGGACGTAAAGGGGATTTAATGGTTTGTTGCACTGCCTGGAACAGGGGGCTAGTGAGGGGCTGAGTGGGAAGAAGACGGAGCCCATTTCCAAGGCCATCTGCCTGCTCCTCATTCCCAAGCATGTGCCACTCACAGCCTCCCCACAACCAACGCGTGCTGCCACCAATCACTCGGGCAGGATGGAAAAGAGGGACTGCCCCTGGAACCGAAACTGAGAAACTGGGCGCCTCCAGCTCTCCTCCTGCTCAGGTTAGCAGCTCAGCCCCACCACACACAACGGGAAGGGCCCCAAGTCCCTGCTCCTTTGATCACCCAGAGGTCACTGCCGGTGACAAAAGCCTGTTCCAGGCAGGGAGCTCACGCGTGCAGAGGCGGAATCCACAGCTGGTGAGAGCAGGTGAGGCCCACTACATTCCAATGAACAGCCAAACCCTAATAGACGGTGATGAGCACACAACGAGGCGTCTGCACCCTCACGGGCAGATCAGCTCCTTAAATGCCAGATGGACGGCACCTCCTCCCAGTGCTCAGCATGGCAGGTGCACAAGACCCAGTCGTCTTCCAGCGCAGCCGACACCACACCGTGCCACCATATCAGCTTTCTGCCAGAGGCCCAGCAGGATGGCATTGAATAATGCACATCGGGCCAGGCGCGGTGGCTCATGCCTGTAATCCCAGCACTTTGGGAAGCCGAGGCGGGCAGATCATGAGGTCAAGAGATCGAGACCATCCTCGCCATGATGAAACCCTGTCTCTACTAAAAATACAAAAATTAGCCGGGTGTGGTGGCACGTGCCTGTAGTCCCAGCTACTCGGGAGGCTGAGGCGGAAGAATCGCTTGAACCCAAGAGGCAGAGGTTGCAGTGAGCCAATATTGTGCCACTGCACTCCGGCCTGGCGACAGAGCAAGACTCCGTCTCAAAAAAAAAAAAAAAAAAAAAAGAATAACACACATCGAACTAGTAAAATTGATGACAGCTAACGCTTATTGAGTGCCTTTTTTTGAGAGTCTCACTCTATCACCCAGTCTGGAGTGCAGTGGCACAATCTCAGCTCACTGCAGCCTCCAACTCCTGGGTTCAAGCTGGTCCTCCTGCCTCAGCCTCCAATAGTGCTGGGGTTATAGGTGTGAGCCACCATGCCTGGGCTACTGAGTGCTTCTTAAGTGCCGGGTATTGCTACTTCTGCCAATTTACTATGACCTCCATTTCACAGAAGAAGAAATTGAGGTGCGGAGAAGCTAAGCCATTGGCTAACCAGCAGATGGCAATGCTTGGAAATTCACCAAGTCTGAACCCAGGGCTCCCATGTGTAATCTCTGCATTGAGCGGCAATTAGTGAACGAATAAATAAACAATGAAACGCAGGGAGGAAGAAATCGGAGCTACATGAGGGATGAGGCCGCGTTATTTCAGAACCTCCCAGGGCCACTCATGATGAAGTAAAAACAGAACTGGCTTCTCAAGAAAAGCGTATCTACTACGCAGGGCAGATGACCCTGGAGACAAGCTGAAGGAAGTCCAGTGGCAATCTCCCAAGTGCCAGCCCCAGCCAGACCCCACTTCTGCCATGCCTCGGGCCAGTCTCAAGCGTTTCCAGCTGCAGTGTTCACATCTACAGAAGGTGCGCGCCCAGGGCCAGGTGCGGTGGCTCATACCTGTAATCCCAGCACTGTGGGAGGCCGAGGCCGGCAGGTCACTTGAGGTCAGGAGTTTGAGACCAGCCTGGCCAACGTGGTGAAAACCCATCTCTACTAAAAATACAAAAATTAGCCAGGCGTGGTGGCGGGTGCCTGTAATCCCAGCTACTCTGGAGGCTGAGGCTGGAGTGCAATGGCGCGATCTTGGCTCACTGCAACCTCCGTCTCCTGGGTTCAAGAGATTCTCCTGCCTCAGCCTCCTGAGTAGCTGGGATTACAGGCACCCACCACCACGCCTGGCTAATTTTTGTATTTTTAGTAGAGACGTGGTTTCACCATGTTGGCCAGGCAGGTCTCGAACATCCAACCTCAGGTGATTCGCCCTCCTCAGCCTCCCAAAGTGCTGGGTTTACAGATGTGAGCCACCTCACCCGGCCAGCATTGACTAGTCTAAGATTCATCCTCAGCCCTCTAGTCTGGCGAAAGAAGATAATTCCCCGGGACTCCACAGAGTCACCTCTAAGGGTGAAGTCTCGGCCTCAGAGTCTGTCCTTCGCCCTCTTCTCACTTGCCCTCTGCTCAGCCTCCTGGTGTTTCCAGCAGCCATGAGAGCTACAGGCGACAGAGGGGAACCAGAATCCGTCCCCAGGTATTCAGGTCTCCACTGAGGTTCTGTGTCAGCTTGGCTCATGGGGAGGACTGCCACCCCGGCAAGATGTGGACCTGATGCCCGGGGGCGGCATTCACCCCTTGAGGCCTCCCGAGGCATCCCTGCAGCATAAGGCACAGTGACCTCAGCCCCTGCATCTGTGACACCCCCGCACACTTCCTGGGGACCGAGGTGAAGCCCGTTCCCACGACCAGGGGCCACAGCACATCCAGCGTCCCGGTAGAGCTGCTGGCGTAGATCACGTACCCCCTGGGCCACAGTCACAGGAGGGTCCCTCGCCAAGCCCCAGCTCACGTGGCCCTCCCTGGCCATTGCTCAGATGACACCACCCAGAGGTCAACAGGAGAGTCCTCCCAAGGAGTCCCCCTGAGGGCTGGACAGCAGGACTGGAGCTCCCGCCTCATTTACTCACCACCGAGTCCCCATCAGCATCCGGAAAGACGCCGGCAGAAGAGACCGAGGTTTCTCTAAGTCCCCAAAACCCAGAGACTCTGTGCAGTGGCTCCAGGATCCTGAGCCCCAAGGGAAGCAGGAGCACGTCCAGCTGGGGCTGGAACTCACAGGCGGCCTCTGCCCTACTGCGGTCACCACGGCCCCAAAGCTGGCCGTGCTCCTCGCTCGCTCAGCCAGAGCTCTGCAGATGCGTCCCAGGCGCTGACGCCACCCACCAGCTGGCCCTGTCCCCGTCAGGCCCAGGAGTGGCTGCAGGGGCTGAGGGCCGGCTGTCAAGGAGACCGGCTCCGAAGGCGGCGGCTCAGGCTTTGGCAAGGTGAGGGCAAAGGAGCCTCTGAGCCTGGCTGGGTGCCTGCCGCCCGGAGAGCCTCACTGGCTCGGGGCTGCAGCGCTGTCTCTTTAAGGCCCAGGCCTCTCCAAGGCAAGGTCCTCCGCAGTCCACTTCTGCCTCTGCCCGTCCTGCGGCAGAGACTGGGGCTCCCCGGTGCCACCTGGCGGCTGCACTGCAGCACCTCGGCCACCAGCCGCTTCCAGCCAAGTGGCCCTCGAGGGCCAGGACACGCATCTCCAGGTTCCACCCAGGGCCACATGTTACTGCTGGGAGCAGCACAGCTGGGGAGTCAGGAGGAATTTCATCTGGGCCAGAGGGAGTAGAAGCCCCCAGGAGTGACATGGGCAGAACAGTCATCCACTGGACAAAACCTTCACTAAAATATTCTCAAATGGGCTGGGTGTGGTGGCTCACACCTGTAATCCCAGCACTTTGGGAGGCCAAGGCAGGTGGATCACAAGGTCAGGAGTTCAAGACCAGCCTGGCCAACATGGTGAAACCTCATCTTTACTTAAAAAAAAAAAATACATATATACACACACACACACACACACACACACACACACACACACTAGCCAGGCATGGTGGTGGATGCCTGTAACCCCAGCTACTAGGGAGGCTGAAGCAGGAGAATTGTTTGAACCCCGGAGGTAGAGGTTGCAGTGAGCCGAGATCGTGCCACTGACCTCCAGCCTGGGTGCAACAGAGTGAGGCTCCCTCTCAAAAAAATAAAAATAAAATATTCTCAAGCCAGGCACAGAGGCTCATGCCTGTAATCCCAGCACTTTGGGAGGCCAAGGTGGGCAGGTCACTTGAGGTCAGGAGTTTGAGAACAGCCTGGCCGACATGGTGAAACCCCATCTCTACTAAAAATACAAAAATGAGCTGGTGTGGTGGCAGGCACCTGTGATCCCAGCAACTTAAGAGGCTGAGGCAAGAGAATCGCTTGAGCCTGGGAGAGCGAGGCTGCAGTGAGCTGAGTTCACACCGCTAACACTCCAGCCTGGGCAACAGAGCAAGACCCTATCTCAAAGAAAATATAAGTCAATAAAAACAACCGTGTGTGGTAGCATTTAAAGAGGCCATCATAACAAGAGGTCGCTACCAGCATCCAAGGCAGAAGCCAGGCTCGATCAGACGTTCCGCAGGATGGCCCTGAGAACACCTGTCCTAAGTGCCCGCGGCATGGAGAACTCTACCTGGTCGGGGGAAACAGAGGGTGGCGGCATGGCAGGCCCCCGCCCCACCCCAGTGTCTTCTTTGCCCCATCATGCTGCTTTGCATGCCTTCCTAATTCAGTTTCACCTTCATAAACTTCGGGGTAGAGGGAGGGGGCAGTCTGAGCCAGCCATCTTCACAAGGGAAGCTGGCGCCTCTGGCTGCCGCTCCCAGAAGCCAGGCGCACACACCCCTGAAATAACTGCCGCGACTCCTCCTGGTCCGAGCTGCGCCCAGGACATTCGTATTTTCCAGAAGGTACTTTCAGGTTCTGATCCTGAAGCCTCGTGACTCCTGATTTCCTTTTCCCCAAGCTCTGGCACCTTGTCCTGAGCTGGTCAGCTCAGCCCCACAAACACACAGTCCAGTGCCAGGAGCTGGCACGAGAAACTAACACACATGCCACGTGTTCTCCCAAAAGGAGGGTGAAAACGGGCCGCGGTGGCCACACTGTGTCTGGGTCTGTGGGCTGGAGCAGTCCGGGGCTCACGAGGCTGACATCACAGACATGAAGATCAATTACAGGAAAGTTCCCCGTTGTCTCCCAGCAACCGAAGAGTTCTCTAAACACAGCATGTCATTCCCCTCTTGCTATGACCCATCTCCGGCTTCTTTTTAAAGTTTTGAGACGGAGTTTTACTCTTGTCCCCCGTGAGTGCAGTGGCACAATCTCAGCTCACTGAAACCTCCACCTTCCGAGTTCTAGCGATTCTCCCGCCTCAGCCTCCCATCAACACTGTCAGGATAGAGACTCACACGTCCTTCTGGCTGTCTCGGGGCCTTATGGCCGGGCCTCGGCCCCCCTCTCACCTTCACCTGGCACATCGTCCTCCTTGATGTCTTCCACTCTTTCCTGCCTCGGACTGTTGCACAGGTTGACATCTCTGGCTAAAATGCTGTACCTCCCCTCTGCCTCGGTATCACCTACTCACCCTTCTGGTCTTAATGTGAATATCCCTTCTTCCAGGGAGCTTTCTCTACCCACCGACCAGGGACACCTGCATCTCTCCCTCCTGCTGAATACTCAGTACTCTTGCAAATTGTGCAATGCCCGTTTCTTCTGCTAGAATGAGGTCTCCGAGAGGAACCACATCACTCTTATTCAGTGTAATCCCAGGACCTTGCAGAAATAGTTTCACTGAATGAATGAGCAAATGTAATAAGCGAAGTATACGAATGAATGAATGAATGGTCAAGTATATTCCCAGTCACAAGGAGCCTCGAAGGAGGCTGCACAGATGTTTCAGCCAGCCCAACTCCGCCAACTGAAAAAGAACCGTGGCCTGGTTGAGATGTCGTGTTGAGAATGACCACTCTCTGGAAAAACTCAAAGAAAGAACAACTGGACCCTAGAATTGCATTTGTGATGGGAGTATTGCTGTTCCAATTAACTCGCTAATGCTCACAAAACATCCTGAGAACTCCCCAGTGCACAGGCTCCCTCGCTAAGCAGCCAGCACTGAAGGCTGCACTCCTCCTCCTCCAATCAGGTGCCAGCATGGAAACGGCACAGAAACCCAGAAATGCTTCAGCCCACCAAGGGAACTTTGCTCTCAATTCTCAGAGTCCTTCTCCAAGGCCTGCCCCAGATTTGCAAAAAAGCTTGTTTTTAGGCTGGGTGCAATGGCTCACACCTGTAATCCCAGCTCTTTGGCAGGCTGAGGTGGGTAGATCACGAGGTCAGGAGTTCAAGACCACCCTGGCCAACATAGTGAAATCGCATCTCTACTAAAAACACAAAAATTAGCTGGGCATGATGGTGTGCCTGTAATCCCAGCTACTCAGGAGGCTGAGGCAGAAGAATCATATGAACTTGGGAGGTGGAGGTTGCAGTGAGCTGAGATCGGGCCATTGCACTCC